GTAGTTACTTGAAAAAATGTTACACGGCCTCCTTAGGTCGCTCTGCCGCGTGTTTCTGTGCTAGTGGGTGAGTTTGCTGCTTTGCGGCACGTACCGCACGCATTTACGATCAGAATTCGAAACTTTGTTAGTCCATTGTTTTTTTTTTCTTCCAGACACCATTTCCTGTCCGAAAAAAATGCCTGCACTGTTACCTGCGACACACTGCTTGCGAGTAAACATAGACACAAGACGTGGAACATAATATGCAGCTTAGTGAGCATTCCCAGAAGCTACTTGTGGAAACGGTTGACCATGTTCTGGAAAGATTGGCTCCGTAGTGATTTCGCTAGTATCGTTATCATCGTCGCCGTCATAACCATCTTTTGCGTCTGTGTTCGGTTTTATTCAGTTTAATTTTTCGTGACCACCATGCACTTGACTTCACTGAATTTCGTGACGTCATGATCCGGAAGGTGACAGCAGCGCGTCAAGACCCGCAATTGTGAGAGCAGCGCGCTACGGCATCGTGACCCTCGCTCCGTCTTGCTCGGTGTTCACTTCGCCGCTTTTTCTATGCTCATAGCAATAAAAAGAAATATCGGGGATTTTACATCACAAAACCCAGATATAATAATGAGAGGAGCCGTTGTGGAGGGCTCCGAAAATTTCGACCATCTGGTGTTCTTTTACGTGCGCTGACATCGCACAGTACGTGGACCTCTAGTATTTCACCTCCATCGTAATGCAACCACCGTGGCAGGTATTAAACCCGCGACCTTCGGGCGGTTCTCACACAACAAGTAAACAGTTCAATCGTACTGGAGGAAAGCCTACGATGTCGTAATGCGCTGCTCCCACGTCACATTTTTTTTTTCGATGGATCCACACCAACTTACACAAGCGTCAACCGTTTAGCATGCAGGAAACTGCGCCGGCACTTTGTTGCAAGACGCGCATCTGATCCGACTTCAGCTCCTTTTTATGCCAACTCTCGGCCAATAGCAGCAATCTGCTTTATGACGTCATACGGCTACAGGGCCGAAGAGAGTGAGGGCGGGATTCCGCATGAAAAGAGGGCGCTTGAGTAAGTCACGACTTCAATTTAGCGCATACATAGACCGAACAGGCAGTAACACGTTTCTTACCTAATTTATCGCTCCAGTCTTATGTAACACAGGAAGGAGACACTTGCACGCCAGCTATTCATCATAAATAAACATATCTTTTTTATTTTTCTGTAAAAGTGTGTTTACAGCAGTGCACGCGTGATGTCGTATGCGTGAAGTACGTAAAACGAGTCACCGCGTAGCCATGATGTTTTCTTTTTTTTTTCGCGCCCAGCAGTGATTTTTTAAAATTTTCACACACAAGCACACACACACTTTTGGGACATGCAAGTTCACTTTTATGTACAAGGCAGGCCTTAAAAAAAAAAAAAAAACCTTCCATGACACCCGAGCTCTGTGTTTCTAACTGTAACCGCCGTTAAGCGGTGGCCATCTTGCTTTCTTAGTTTCTACGCCATTCATCTCGACGCAATGGCTGAGGATTTCATGGAGTGTCAACTTCCATCTCGCGCCATTCTTTTTTCTTTCTTTCTTTTCTCCTCTTCCGCGTAATCCAACCCACGAACTACAAGCAGTGTGAGCATGGGGAACAGTTCGACACCGATTCAGAATGTGAATGCATGCACGATGACTTTATGTAAAAAAAAATGCAGCTCACGACGTAGACGTCACTTCTGTTAATGCGGCAGCATTAACAGTTACAATCTCTGCGAACGAAGTTCAGCGAAATTGCTCACATTGAATAGCTGTACATTTTTTTAAAATTAAAGATCTCCGAGTGGCTCTCGTGTTTCCTTTCCAAGTGCTTCCAGTCGAGCACTCATTTGTGGTTTTGAGAATATTCATGAAAGGTTTTCGAAAAAAAAAAAACAGAAGTCGACAGTTCTGGTTCAAGTTTTGAGTTATATTAGAAACATGTTTTAACGGAACATAACTTTGCTAAAGATAAAAACTAATTAGCTGTCACGATAACTAACGCGAATTAATTGGGTATACAAAAAGTGTGGGCAGTTAATTGAAAAAGCGGGCTATCGTGTCGGCACCTATCAGAGCAGATATCAACTACGCACTCCTTTCACAGTGGCCTCTGTGATCCACTCCGGCAGCGGGCGAAACACAATTCCAACCAAATGAATGCATCAAAGCACACACCAACGAAACGCGAATGCAATTACCGAACACCTAAGTCAATATTTGTCAATAGTATTGTTGCCTATTATTGATATTAGTCAATGTTATTAGGATCGGTGCTCGTATTTAATCACGCAGAACAAGGACACGAACGCCCCGAAGAAAAAAAAATCTCGCATGATTCACATATTAAAACTCCTTCTCCGAACTTCGCTCGCAGGGGCTGCATCTTTGGTATGGGTTACGCAAGCACAAAGGTTTTCAGCGGATGATTTTCTCTCGGGCGCTGTTACTTTTTATATACGCTTTGTAGTATGATGCCACAGAAATTAAGGTCCCGAGAAGGCTCATGTATTGCACACACTCACACGCATGTATACACGCACACACAAGAAACAAACACACAAGTTTTTAAAGAGATGATGCTCTGTAGAAGCGAGTTGTTTTCATAAAAGAATAAAACGATAGAGGCTGCAATGTTCACCGGCGTTGCGGTAATCAGGCAAGGGGACCCGAGGTAATATCAGGGTCACGTTGTTCTCAAAGGCAACCACGTTTGAAGGAAAGGCAAAAAAATTGTGATGGAGAACAAACAAAACACGCAAACAATGAGAATACATTGACACGAAATATTGCACACCAGACATATGGGCGTCGTCATAAAACTTCTCGCGCTTTTTCATCAACACTTTGTACAAAACGAAAGAGAATAAACAGAACAGATGAGACAGCTCCGCGCAATATGTATGTTGTTCCTGCAGGCAGAAATGGGTTATGCCGTGTATGTATATGCCCTCTCGGCGATGCGTTCGCTTGATTGCTCTTTGGTGAGGAGGCTCTTGGGAAATTTTCGTTCCCGTCTCGCGAAAGAGGACTCTTTTATTTGCCGAACTTAACGGTGCCTTCAAATGCTGTGTGTCAAAGTGAGAAAGGCAGAAAGACTTGTAGAGTATCGTTCGCAGAGAGAAAAAAAAAATCAGTAAGCAATGATGAAGAAGCCATTCTGTCATTGTTTCGTATCAAGCGGCGTGTCATTGAGAGACAAAAGTGTGCAATCGATATTTGAAGAAAGTATGACGAGACGATAAGATTCCTGTCTTGTTGTGCTTGTTTTATCTTGATGTTGAAAAGAGAGAGGAAAAGAAGGAGAGAGAAAAAGTGAGATGATGACGAATCGAATCTGAAATTCTCAGAAACTCGATCACATTGTTTACATACAAATGCACAAACAACTCTGGGAACGAGAACATACACTGGTGTGCGGGGTTGGGGGCGTCTTCTTGTGGTTATAGAAGTGTCGTTCACATTTTGTCGTTTTTCTTCCTTCTCCTTGATGAAAGAGAAAAAAAACAGAAATGACTCGAGAAAGGCTGTGTGTGTACCAAGCAAAGAACACACTGCGACGTGGTGGTATACAAACTATTACAGTGGTGCCCCAGGCAAAAAAAAAAAAACATTTCTCACAGACTTCCTATACAGACTGGTAATATCATACAACACACCGTAACACGCTTTAAACTTCTACGCCACTGCCATTTTCTCGAAGAAGTGTTTTTTTTTTCTTTAAAAAATGGGACGGCACAGCGTGCGACCGCTTCTTCTCGACGTTCGGTGATATGAAAAAAATTAAAGAAATAAACTATGAAAGGAAACTAAAAAAAAGCTAGCATGAGAAGTATTGTGCAGCGAAGATAATTAAACCATGCAAACAAAAATGAACGTAACGAAATGCGAGAACGAACTGCGCTACAACGGTTAATGCCAGCTGTGACCACGATGAAGAGACAGTGCGAAGCCATAGTCGAAACTTGGCTGCTGTTGCTGCTGACTAGAGCAAATTCATTCGGTGTAACGAAGCGTGCGGGATTAATGTATTGACAAGTGTGTACGGGAAATCTGCGGACCAAGGGAGTTAGTCTATATCGTACAAAGGGGGAAGAGAGAGAAGAAAACCAGTGCGAACGCCGCGGAACGTAGGTGTGCGTCTGTGGTCTACGTATACAGTTTTGCGGGAGGCCAGAATGTCCGGGCACGCGTTTACGTTGGTAAGGTGGAGGTTCTCTAGATAGCGATTCTAGATTGAACTGCCTCTCATGTCTCTCATGCTCTAATTTGACTAGCCGCATTTAGCAAAGGCTACTCGTGACTAGCGAATTCCTAAAAAAAGAAAAAAAAAAGAAAATGACGCCTGGTGTTCGCGCAAGCAGATCGCTGATTGGTTCGTTCTCAGACGGAGTTCCAATCTGGCCCAAAAATAAAACCGACGCTTTGGTGCGGGGGCCGAGTCGTCGGTCGCTCCCCGTGACACGGGCATAGGACTGTATTCCCATCCGCTTCACTCCGTGCGCAGGCACACACACACACACAAGCGCGCGCACACCGTTCTTGGCGGTCGTTTTTTGTTTTTCTTTGATCGTGTCCCATCGGCTGTTGGGTCCGAGCACAATGCAAACTCACTGACGACACGCGTGCACACTAGAGACACTTCGGTAAAAGCAAAACGAGCGAGCAGCAGAACTAAAAAAAAAAAAACGTTATCACACTGACCGTCCGTCTAAGCAGTTAAGCTTGATCCTTTGTCAGTTTTGTGAGAGCGGAGGATTTTTGTTGTTGCTGTTGTTGACATTGTCTGGACCAGAAGAAGAGGCATGGTAGACGCGCAGACTGTCGTATCTTCGAAGTGCTATCGGTTATTAAATTTAAAAATAAAAGAAAGAAATGCTCTCGTAATCTTACTTCGCAAGTCCGTTCTTTCAGGCGATCAGCACGCACATTTCGGAGAAGAAATTAGTTTTTTTTTTGGGGGGGGGGGGGGGGGGGGCGTACTTGAGAGCGCAGAACGTTTTTCACGGTGGCGAGAGCGCGTGACGGTTCGCTCGCGTTCCAGTCACAATTGGCGCTCGCTGTATGCACGCAGTAGCTATAGCTGCACGAGGTGAGAGCTACGTGCAAGCCCTGCGAAACGTGCACGAGACGGTACACCACAAAGCGTTCAAACGTCGTTTCTCGTTCGTGACTTGGAGATTCATCATTCACACGGGCGAAATCACAAACCGCTCGGGTATAGCATTGCTTCGACGAAGACTCCGTTGCACTGTCACCAAGATGAGTCTGCTTCTTCTGTCACGCCCTTCTTGTGTCTTTTTTTTCGGCGTTAAGCGCATCTTAATAGCTCGATTTCGGGATTCTCGGCGGCCACAATTTGACGCGACGAAGTAAAAGGGTACGAGTGCGCGAGCGGACGCTTTGGGGCGCGCTAGACCTGCGTGATGTTGCGCGTCACGCCTCCGGTCTTGTCGAGAGAGTGCTGCGACGAAGTGTAGACCGCGTTGTAGCTGGGCACTTGCGGCGGCAGCGCAGGAACGACCCCGTCTTGTCCCGGACGATGCTTGGCCAATCTCGCCGGTTGCGGCACGCCACCGTAGTCGCTCTTCGAGTACAGCGACGGCGTGGACGAGTTGAGCGAAACGCCGTCCTCGACCATCATGATTGGCGGCGGCTCGTGCCTCTGCTTGGCCTGCTGGACCTTGTTGTAGTGGTCCAGGAGTACGCTGGCGGGCCACGAGTTCACGGGGCTGATGGCCGCCGCGTCCAGGCGACCAGTCGTGGGCGTCGTCTGCTGCTTCACGTCGTCGTCCATGATGGGCGTCGTTGTCTGCGGAGTCGGAACGGTCGTTGTGAGGTCGTCCCGCGCGATCTTTGCCGGAAGCGGCGGAGGCTGGGACGTGGTACCGTTGTCGGTGGACTTCTTGGGTGGTGGCGCTTTGCGGCGTCGCGCCATTAGCAGAATGATGACGATGATTCCGACTAGCAGCACGGCTAGGGGAACGGCGATGATCAGGGCCAACTGGGCAGCATTCAGTTTGTCCCGGGTGCTGCGAGAACCGCTGGGTTGTCCGTGGGCGCCTGCGCCTCCTGCCGTGCCCGAGCCGCTGCCCCAGGAGGACGAAGGCTGCGTCGACGTCGACGTCGTGGTCGGAGGCGGGATGATGATCACTTCGACGACGTTCGAGACTTGACCGGCGTTCCCCTGGTCGTCAATGGCCCGGATGGCGAAGTAGAGGGGGGCCGAGGACATCGGCTGCTGTCCATTCTTGAGACGCACGGTGGCCGTCTGGGTGGCACCGAATGGCTTTGGAGGCTCGTAGTAAGGTCCGTCGACGTCCCACTGACCAACGAGCTGGCCGTGACCCGCGAAGCGGCGCTGAGCGTTCAGCCTGTCCTTGAAGCTCTTCAGCTCGTAGCGACTCGCTGTTTGTGGGAGGGCACGGGAAAGAGAAGACAAAAGAATATGAGTTTGTTGGCGTGTTTGGGAATCAGATTAAATGTTAATACCAGTAATAGTAAACCACAGATAGTGATAACTAATGTATCTGTCGTCAGGACTGTCACGAAAATGAATCAATACGTGTGGTGCTTCAGAATAGTCCACTTTCCTATAATTCTACGGTTATCATAATAAAAAAAGGTTTTTTTAATAGAAGCGTTAAATAACTTATTCTTCAATTCAGCTTCTGTAGTGCAAAAAATTTAAAGCAGGATTAAATTTAGTTAAGTAGGCTTAGCATTACAATAGAGTATAGCCCTTAAGGAGATCGTAAGTCTGAAGAAAATATCATTTAGATAAGTTTTTATTAATAAAATACACAAGCTGATGCAAAGGCAGCTTTATATAATAAAATAGAAGAAATGCAATAAGCAATTAACTTATTGCCGACCTCTCTGCCTTTCTGTAAATAAACTTACCTCCTCCTCCGCAATAAGCAAAAAAAAAGTGGCAAATACAACGTAAAATTCGCTTCGCCTGCGGTACATTCTGTTTGAGGTGAAGAAAACTTTACAAACAAATTAGCCACACAAAAGAATTTTACGGGATGGATATACAGATAAAACAATGATTTATTTAAATTTAGTTGGGCCATTAGATGAACCTTACTACCCTGAACTATATCTCTAGGTAGGTTTGGTCTACTGGCAAAAGCTTGTCATCCTAGTCAGTGACCCGAACAGCGGCCTCGCAGGAGGAAGTGAATCGGTTCGGCCATAGGGTCCTGGGGCTCTGAGAAAATGCTCTAACTGTAAAACATATACTCGGGGTGCTCAGTACGGGGGACAAGAGAGGTTTATAGCTTTTTTATAGTGGTATTGGACGCAAGCACTATACAGAGGAGCGTAGTAGACAGAAGACAAGCGTTTTTGTCCTTTGTCGTGTTTTGCACTCATTACCATTATGAATAGCGTATTTAACTCGCCCAACCAGCAACGTAGTTGTATTTTTAGCTTGTCCGGTATTTCAGCTTATTAAAATATGTTTATGAAATACCAGCTTACCGGACGATGATACCGACATCCACTTCGAACAATTTAGTCCCGTTTAGTTGTTTTTGCCTGCTGTCTTGAGGAAAAAAAAAAAGGTTTAAAAGAGAAGCCCATTGAAGGCTTACATTGGGGGCTACCTACTGCCAAGGATTCACATAAGCAGATATTCAATATTATCTAGGTTTCCACAATAATGATTCTCTGCTTGCTTCGTTCCGACAGAAAATAGCGCAAAGAAACGGGGACACTAGACGAGGACACACGGCACAGGCGCTAACTTCCAACATAATCATGTTGGAAGTTAGCGCCTGTGCCGTGTGTCCTCGTCTTGTGTCCCCGTTTCTTTGCGCTATTTTCTGTCGGCACAATGGACCAACAAGCCCAAATTTCGACAGTGTTGCTTCGTTCATCTCGACCCCACCCGGTGTCGCCACCCACCCGACTTCTCCGGTATAACACTCTCGCAAAGAGGTCACGGAGGCAAACTAGAACTGTCCAGTGTGTAATGTTACGGAAGTATGTGGGCGGTTCCGACCTTGTCCTTCGTCGAAGTCATCGCCCGGCGCTGTCCAGTTGAACGTCACGGCCATCCTGCGGTTGTCGGTGGACACCACGCGGAGGTCGGTGATTCGGCTGGGTGGCAGCACGTCCCGCTCCGGCTTGGGCACCGTCACGAAGAACGAGCCGTAGTGGTTGATGCGCGTGAATCGGCTCGTCTTCTGCGAGTAGCTGTCCGGCACGCGGCTGCCGCAGCACGAAGGATACTCTGCGCAAGAACCAAGCAGACCACACAACTCGTACGCTCCATCTGCTTCGCGAAACACTGGTGCACACTTGGTGGTACTCAGGCATATCTATCATGCGTAAGGTGTGCAATAACTGGGAGAAAGCTTTTAAAAAAAAATTACCTGTACCGCTCATCCGGAGAGTATTAAGATAACATCGTTTGACAACCCTTTGGGTAACTGGAGCTAATCTCACAGAGCTTTACAACTTTTTCCAAACAAATTACGCGAAAGTGTATTTTTTTGATTGACTGATTTGTGGGGTTTAACGTCCCAAAACCACCATATGATTATGAGTGACGCCGTAGTGAAGGGCTCCGGAAAATTTAGACCACCTGGAGTTCTTTAACGTGCACCCAAATCTGAGTACACGGGCCTACAACATTTTCGCCTTCATTAGAAATGCAGCTGCCATAGACGGGATTCGATCCCACGACCTGCGGGAAGGTGTTTTTTCTAGACTGCTCACTTCACAGAAAGTAAATCACTGTAATAAAACAATTTGTCTCCTGGTATGCGTGACACGGTTTCGTACTCTCCCGAGATCTGCGAAAGTTCAGTTCTGAAATTTTTGTATTATTCAGCGTGACTTTCGATACAGGAGCAGGTCGTTTTGGCTCTTTCATGACCTTTAAAAGCCTCTTCTCACAGTAGGCGGGACTGCTTTACCAGTAAAATACCACTAATAAACTGCTTTGCTATATCAAAAAAGACAGATATGCAATGACGTCATGCAAAACGCCAAATACGTTACGCGGAGTCTTTAGCTGAGGCGTAGAAATTGTGGGCTAACGGTGAATGAAACTAGGGGAAAGAAACAACCTGTCGGTAGTGAGAACTGAACCCACTGCTCCCACGTTGCGTGGACGTCGCAGGTTCGATTCCCAGTGATGCCGAACCCCGTTCGAATGCGGAGTTTGTCCAAAGGCTCGGCCCCACCACTGGCAGAGAGCTGCTTTTCGTCCCACCTAAATTCATCTTGGAATGGTCTCATATATGTGGTACTCCAATTCTAAACCGGAAGTAACGTTCGGCTCTTCGACTGATTTCCTTTGTAGCCGCAATAAACGAGTACATTATATTCTTATGAGTATTTCGTATTACGCTTCAGACAATGGTCAATTATTGTAGCAGCAGCGTCTTTGACGGCGTAAGAAATTGGAGGCATCCACGAGGACACCAGGGACCGATGATGCCCGTAATTCGCGGGCTTTAGTGGTGGCGTACGCAGCTCGCTCCCTTTCTCTCTCGTTGCAACTATACGCAAAACACTCACCTGCGCCTTCGGGAAACCTGCTTTCGAACTCGGCGCTGGAGGCACCGACGACGACAGCCGAAACGTCGTTGTCGTTGGCCACCACGGTCAGGTCGTAGCGGCCGGTGCTCGTGAAGTCGGTGAAGTAGCGGCTGTAAACGCCATCATTCTGCGTGATGTCCGGATCTGCGAAGAAGGCGTCGATGAAGAGAGTTAACTCGCTTCAGTCGCAGTGTACCGTTGCTGTGCGAGCTATAGGCAGGTCAAGAAGAGGTCGCATACACAGTGGTACCCGAGAAAATTGTCAGGTTGGCGAAAAACTCTTGCACAGGGGGTGTCGATGAAGCCAAGTCCTATAGAAGGCAGCCTTGAGGAAACGAGATCACCTCCTTTTTTAAGACAAGACTGCCGAAACGTTAGCTCAAGCGACGCTCCCAGTTCAAGAATTTTTCGTCTTTTCGTGCCTGGACCCTACAAACCTCTGCCTTGGGGCGCTGTGCAGGATTGCCCAAGCTTGGCCAAACTCGGGATCAGCTCGGGATCTTTCCGAACTTTGGCGACACTCCATTTTGAATGAGTCAAGAGTACGAAGAAGTTAAAGTCACTCCTCAGCACGCTGCGTTTCATTGGTTACACTGGATCTCGGTATCGAGTCAAGGACAAAGTTGAGCGGTGTTTCCAAACCACATCCATCTTCTTTTATTTATTTGTCGTTCCACTGAGTGCAGAAGTGCACCCAACCAATAAATGTGCCAGAAACTTTTCATGATGATATTTTTTTAGAGGCACGGAGTGTTTAAATTTATTTTGAAGCTCTTAATGCCTGCACTAAGTCTATTTTAGAATAATCAGCTAGGCGGCCTCTGAGATTAGTTCCAGCCAAACGTATGACATCACAACCGCAGCTAAAAACGAGGCCATGTGTTAAACACGGACTCCATACCATCAGCCTTTCGCACTTGCCAAAAATTCGGGCCCGCAAAGTCGTCACACTGACAGGAACGTACCTCCAGCTCCGTTGTCAATTAGATGCAGCCTGGTGATGCTGTCCGTGTCGGGGTGTCGGATGAGGGCAGTCACCATAGCTTTGGCCACAGGGTGAGACCCCTTCTTCAGCTCGGCGTAGATTATGAATCTGTCGGAACCGTTTACCTGGAACGCGACCAAATCGTTTTGGTCATACATGTCGCAGGTATACATTTCTGGCTCATTTACTAAACTTTTGCCATTGAAATACGTAAAACCAAGTTTGGATACATTGGCAAACGCTCGTGACAGGCCCATCGAAAGAATGTTGCGTGATACGAGACTGACCGCATTTGTACACGCTGCATAGTAAGTCGCAAACGGCTCGTTTTCTGAGAAAGCTTTAGCGCGCCTGGTATTAAGGTTTGCGCAATTCCGATTTCGATGGCTAGATGAATGTCATAAGTGCCTCTTTTATAATTAGGTGGTGACCTAAGAGCCGCCGAACAAAATTATTTTCATTCGGCCTAGATCCTTGTATATTGAAATAATTTATTTTGACAAATAAAAGGAGACCAACTATTGTTTTATTAATGTTCTGCGATCACACTCCTAATGACACACTTAGTGCTTGTCTTTTAATGTGTTCTTGTTTGTCTTTTTCAGAGTTTATATGGAAGATCTCCGCGCCAACAGGTGGCGTCACGAAACGGGCGGACACGTTTCCGCCTCTGGCAACCTGACAACGCACAAACTAAACTTCTACATTGTTTCCTTCTTTTATGTTCTGGGATAAGAGCGCTGTAATCAAGCAGTGCCCTGTGAAGCGGTTCGCACATACTCCAGTTAAGAATTTGAGCCGCACACTGAGAACGCCGCGGTGCAAAGTATGACATGTATCTCACCGCCGACGAATGCCCGCTTATCCAGACGTCGAGCAAGATGGGCGTTTCCTTGGCAGCCGGCCTGGCGTACACCAGACCGATGACCGGCTGGTCCGTCTTCGTGGTCGGCTCGGCCCGGAGCTCCCACATGCCGACCTGCGTCACGGGCGAAGAGCACGCTACGTTTAGCAAGGACACTTAGATATATCACTATTACAATCATCGTCATCCCCGCTTTAGGACGAATGCGCCTCCAACGATTTATAGTCAGCACTGTCTAGCGCAAACCGATTTCATCCGATGCCCTCAAATTTTCGTATTTTATCACTTGCATAGCGTACTCAGAGTGAGTGAGAGAGAGAAACAATCAGAAGGCAGGTCGGCTCGGGCTTGTGCGCTCTGACCTGCTACTCTCCATATAGGAAGAAAAAGAGAGAAAGAGTGATGAAGATGATGATGGGGGCTCAAAATACCTTTGCGACCACACAACGTGAACTCAATTCCTCTTTCAGAATCATTTTTTTCCTTCTAATGTGCGTATACTCGCTCTGATTTGTCAGGAAATCTATATTATTAGTCACGAGAGCTGCTCCAAGGCAATTCAGCTTAAATTTTATAGGGTGTCAAATAAGTGACTTCTCTCTAACGAAAGACGATTACATGTCTTTGCGTTCAGAAGCCTTTACTGCATTCTTTTGCTTTATTTCAAGAGTCCAGACACCAAATAAAATATTCATCGGGAAACAAAAGGAAAAATACAAAGCGTCGAGGTATCATCTATAATTTCTCTCTCTGTCTCTCTCTCTCTCTCTCTCTCTCTCTCACACACACACACACACACACACACACACACACACACACACACACACACACACACACACACACACACACACACACACACACACACACACACACACACACACACACACACACACACACACACACACACACACACACACACACACACACACACACACACAAAGCAAAAAGCACACATAAAATAATCACGTTCCTTCCTACGGGCAACGTAGCGTAAGGCCCATATGTAACGCATGCTTATCAATCTGAGCACCTCCGGTATGAATATTAAGGAGCGGTAAGGTGCGTATCAAGTGGATCTGCACGCAGAGACAATCGCATAAGACTGCAGAATAAAACAGCGCGCGCCCTAAAAAAGCGTGCCCCCCCCCCCCCCTCAAAGAAAACCACCTCACCTCTCGTTCACTTCGCTAGGTAACGAACTCGGTCCTCTCTAGAGCATCAAAGATCGTACGGCGAGCCCAGACGAGTTCGAAAAGGGTTGTAGCAAAAAAAAGTAATATTGATAATAAAGAAAAGGGAGGACAGATGAAGCAAAGCAAGATATATGATAGAAAACAATGATATATCAATGCGGGGAGGGGATAGGCATGATAGAGTAAAAAAAGAGAACCGGAAAATAAAGATATAAGTGGGCAGATGTACAGATACATGAATATAGATACGTGTACACATATAAATTGGTACGATAGAGTAAAACGAGAGAATCGGGACACAGATATACAGGTGGACAGATGTGCAGATAGATAGATCAATAAAGAAAGAGAGGGAGTGGAGCGGCTTTAATACGTGCTCTCAGCCGCTGGGGAGTATTAGACGAGACACGTCTTTTTCACAAAGACGCACGCAACAAGCCTGCCAGTTGATCCGCGCAAAAGTCAAGATGGAGTGGGTAAGGGGTGGGGGTGGAAGTGTGACGATCGTGGAACTCGGAAAAAGCGGAGCCAACCGTTACATACACGGACAAAGAACACCTCGAAAGCTCATTTCATGGCAGCCTTATTTTCCCCCTTTCCTATTTTTATTTCCTGCGGTGCGAAAAAAAGGGAAGTAATAGAAGAAGAAGGTAGCCAATTCCATTGGGATAAAAATTGATTGGACGGGTCGATAGAGTCATACGGGGACAGCGAGTTAACCTTACTTCCTTTCATCCCTTTTCTCCGCTAGCGTCGTCCTCCTTTGTATCCCCGCCAGCATCCCCATGGGGATCTCGACCCCTTCTCATCGCTCCACTCTCGGAATCGGAGTGGAGTTCGCGCGCCATAAGGAAGGTCAAATAATAAAAAAAAGAGGTTGAGATGTCACGCTGGGCAACACGATAGCTTCGTGAAGGTGAAGAAAAGAGAGAGGATGATATGGAGAGGGCAATTAGGGAAACGCGTCCTTGGAGTATTGTTGAAGAGGGATGGGGGTTTGCTGCGTTGCGTAACAAGACGACGAAAAAAAAAAAGATTTCATAGAAGTCGAGAAGGTACGCGAAATCAGAGACGTTAAAGCGTAATGAGAAAAAAAGGGTGAGAGTGATTGGAAGAGGGCTGTCAGGGAAGCACGCGCTTTGAAGATGGGGAGGGGAGGGACGGGGCAGGTGACGCGTTGCGCAACAACTTTATAAAGTGGGTGTCACGGAAGCGTAAAGAGCGATGCCTGAAACCCGAGATGTGAGGGTGTAATGAGGCATGAAGAGAGAGGAAAATGGGGAGAGGTCAATTAGGGAAACATGCGCTCGGAGGTTGAGGAGTGAGACGTCAGCATGGGGAGGTGGTGCGTTGCGTAACAACGCTGTAATGAGGATGTGCTAGAAGTGTCGTAGATGGCAAAGCCTGATGTTCAGCAGGTAATTGGGGAAAAGAGGGAAAGAAGGTAGAAAAAAAAGATTATACAGATGAAAGGGGACCAAACTAGACACCGTATTGGAGAACGATGATAAAGTTTTGATGTAATCATGGTTAAAGAAAATAAAAACAGTCTTGTGAAGTACGCTTGGATATGTAAGACATGGAGAAAATATAGTACAATATAAAGAACGAAATAAAGTTCTGATTATAATTTTTAAGTGTGTCCGTCACCTTTTCGACTCCGGGGCTTTGAAATCAACGTACAATATTCTTCAAATCAACGTACATGCTAGATCATTCAATAAATACGAGAGAAGCCTGTTGGTCTAATTGTAGCACGCAAAAACCACAAAAAAGTCGGGGTCAAATAACCGAGATGGTGAACTGGATGAGCGTTGACTTACAGTGGTCCGTCAAGTGTGCAGTGTTTTATTCTTCATGCCCACCTTCACTTTTTCTTAAATATTTTTCTTGGTGCTGCAATCTGCCCAGGTATCTATCGGCTAACTTGACAAAATAAAAGTACTGGGCGTGGCAGATTTACCCAGAAAAAACGTAACACACGCGAAAAATGGCAGAAAACAACAACAAGACACTGCGTTTTATGTAAGAATAGAAACGGGCTGTTCCCTCGGGACCCTTCCTCCATACACGGGACATTAGGTGCAGGTCAGAGTAGCCATATACTCAGCTCAAACGAACGCAGATCATCTAAAACAAAGTGCTATAGATCAGTAGAGAAAGCAGATAAAGAGAACGAAACAAAAGTTCGTCCATTCAATCAGACGTTATCTTTGTTTTATTTCGAGGTCGCAGTTGGCCATCCTCCTAATGCCGCGCACTCAGCTCCCTTCGCACGTTTCGAACATCGGCTGCAATATAGCGTTGCGTGTTGGCAAGGGGCTGCTGATACGGGCTTCGCGACCAGCTGTACACGGAACTGGAAGACAAAGAGTCACGCGGGAAAACGCACGGCGCAATGTTGTACACGGCAGACGTATACAGGAAGTACGATGCAATGTCCAGGGTGCAGCCGGACGCCCTTTAAGAAGCAGCTCGCTGCCCATACGAGATACACAGCCTGGGAACTACGTGCCGCGAGCTTTGAATGGTCTCAAGAACTCGCCTTTCGAGTTCGACGTAGCTGTACAGGTTTTACGGTGCCTCGAGAAAAGGCGAGGGCAAAACGTGCGGATGCGGAGGTATGAAACATACGTCGGCCAGCGCTGGTTTCGCCATGTGTGTGTGTGTGCGTGCGTGCGTGCACGCGTGAGTGTGAGTGTGTGTGAGTGTGTGTGTGTGTGTGTGTGTGTGTGCGTGAGAGAGAGAGAGAGAGAGAGAGAGAGAGAGAGAGAGAGAGAGAGACGAAGCTGAGGTGTAACCAAAGTTGAGTCAAGATTGGTTATATGTCGGAGCTACGATAATATTCCCCCCCCCCCCCCCACACACACACATACTCTTCGTTAAGCATTACCGGAGCAAGGACTTTTGCCCTGTGTCATCATTACAGGGGAAAAAAAAGTACGAGTCCAACACAGGTGAACATACAGTTGCATGCGACAAGCGTGAGGTTGGTGGCAGAGCGCTGCACTGTATACTGAAACAAAATAAAAACAAGCAAACAAACAACAACAACAAAAACTTTGGGCGGAGTTGCGACAGAGTCGCCGCACTCCCAGCGACGCGAAAGCGAGCGGAAACGGGACTGGCATAAAGTGACGAAAAAAACAACAACAAAAAAAACCTGAAGTAATAATCGAGCTCGACAACAAAGAAGTGGGAGCCTGTGCGACCGTAGCATACGCTGCGGCGCGCCGTTCGTTTCCGATGGCACGCGGCTTATTAAAGAGGTATATATACAGACACACGGGTACCACGCCGCGTACGTGCGTAGTTCGGATGTGCGCGAAGGGCCCCCACGTATCGGAAATCGAAACTATGCGTTACGCTCGAGCAAAACAACAAATTTAGAATAAAAAAACGCCGTCGCTTGTGCGTTGCTCCGCATGTTTCGTGTGCTCGCATGTCCCTCCCCCTAACCCCTTCCACCATTTTTTTTCTTATTTTGTTAGGAGAAGCACGCTTCATGTTGACAAGGCTAGGCGTTGTCGAACCGTTGTAGCAGACAAGAGGGAAAGGGTGGGGAGGCGTGGAACAATCGCGGAGTTTTGTCTGACGCGGTGAAACCTGCTCACGTACACGCCATAGGCGCGGTGCGGAGGACGAAGCGATTTATAGGCGCAACAGACAGATGACGAGAAAGCGTGGTGGTGGTGGGAGGAATGGTTTCAACGAAGCGTGAAGAGCCGCACCTGGCTGGTACGTTCGAGCGAATCATGCGCTGTCAACGTGTCAGTGATAGCCTTCATTCCCCCCCCCCCCCTCCTATTTTGCTTCACTTATAATGGAAATCTATAGGCCGTGGCTGCCCCAACCATTTCTCGTCCATATGCAAGTAAACAGAATGAACGCCCTATTTGCGCATTGCACTGGAAACATTTA